CATCATCAGCTTCAGTCAATCATCATTATCAGTCGTCATCCACCACCACTTAGAGTATATTTATCACTATCATTACTAATTGTGAACTATTTCAGTGTCAAACAATTGTTTTCACAGGTTGAGAGGAGGGCTGCAACTAACTAACTAACTATATATATATATATATATATATATATACATATATACATTTTCAAATATAAAAATATTATTTAACAGCCGTATGTATTATAATAACACCAGGAAGCACAGGCATGTAACAGGGATAACCCCTTTCAGGGAGCTCCATCCTCAATGGCTTATCTTAATAGCTCTGTTGTATTTTGCAAGGGTTTCCGAGAAGAGGCAGCAATAAAAAAAACTCCCTTAAATTGTGTCAATGGAAGTAATAATCACCCCAAATTCATTAGTGTTCTTGTATGCAGTGCCGCAGGGAGTATTCCAGCAAACAGAACCCTGATGCCTTTCTGCATTCTGGATGTCCAACACACAAGCCGCAAGTTGGACAGCCCTAATCTATATTATCCTTGTCATCAATCATCATTATTGCCACATTCATCATTCAAATCCATCAATCTCTTTGTCATAATTGATTATAATCATCCATCATTGTCAGAATTTACCAATTATCATCTAACAACTGGGAGCACAGTTACATTTCATTAAAATGTGAAGCTCAGATTTTTTATATATTACACAAAATGTTTCTCGAACATAAGTCCTCATACCTTGCTCTGGGAAATCTTTAACTTGTTATTCATTGCATAGACCCCTTTATCTACTGCCACCAATCCCACATTAGCCTGGTGATCTGCCTTCAGCTTCAGATTCATGTTTCCACCAGGTTCCTGAACTCTTGAATCTGATTCCCTGTACGGCGTCAATTGCAGCTGTGTAAAAAAAATTGCAGTCACTCAGATCATTTCATAAATGTTGCAGGAAAGGAATACTTGGGATGGAGAGTGAACTAAAGAGTACAAAATTTCTCCTTCACACTACCCATCCAGTCGGCACAAGGTGCATTGAAAATAAAGGGTTTGTATTGTATGCTTTGTAAATACTGCACATGTGTTTGCCACATCAAGGCATCTTTGCAAAGCGTAACCTTGAACTAAAGCATAAAAAATATATGTTTGATTGATATAGTATCCTCAAAACGTAAAAACCTGTTAAGACTCAAATAAGCACCAAGTATAGAACAAACCACCTGCTTATGATACTAAAAATCAAAAGTGCAAACATTTATTGAAACGTTCTGTATATCTTATATTCAACACATATTAAAATCACTTCGCTAAGATTAATTTTAAATAAAGATCAGCTCTTCTACTAAAAATATATTTTTAAAAATCAGCACAAGTAGTAGGAAATGAGCATACAGCTAACACCAAATCATACAAAAAATTATTACATTAACATCCAAAAAAAATAAATACATTCTGGGGATGACTAACTAAAGGTAAATATACTGTGTACTTTAAGTGAGGTTGCTTTAGATCCGACGGGAAGCTCTGAAAAGGGGCGAAGCTCTGCTGATTTCTTTCATCCAATCATGTGCAATCAAAAATGCTGTTTTTTTATTTTCCTTGTATATTCCCTTCAGATGTAGAGCAGCTGCACTTTTAGTGCACTTGGAGCACACTTGCAGTGCACAGCCTATTTGCTTTTACTGAATCAACCCCATTGCATCTCTGCAAAGTGTGTTCCATAACTCAACTATTTAAGCTCACAACCTAGAACACGTATAGCTATGAATATGTTGAAAGCATGCTTGCCTTTACCGTAGTCCCTTCATCCTTCATCACAACAATACACCAGAAGCTAGACTCATTCAAGGCTTTGTATCTTGATGCAGACACACACTGTGGGTCTATAGCTGCCTTGGCTTCTGTGTTGTCATACCTTTAAGAATAATGGGGGGGGACGACTTACAGGAGGACCCTCCATGTTAGGATCTCTACGCCCTTTTTTGGCCCTCTGAGTGCTCAGCACTGGATGTCCATGAGAGTGGAGAGTTATGGCTTCTCCTTTTCTTACTTCATTCATCCTGGGGTTTTTTTCTCTAACTTCTTTTTAATCTTCCTTTTTTCTTGCTCTTTTCCCCCTTTTTTTCTGGTATTGCATTGTAAAGCATGCTGAATGGAGATGGATACAAGTTCAGAGCTTTTGCTGACTTGTAGTTACATGTTCTGAGTGATATATGTAGATTGACGTGTTTGATATTGTATACATGGTTGGTTTTTCATCTGCAATAATCTGTGATTTGCTACTTTCCTGCTCTTATCGTGCATATGCTGTCCCAATTTTACATGTTTTGGGGGGGTTTTTTTTTCATTTATACTTTGTGTCAACTCTGCTGAATGCTTTGTGAAGTATTCTTTGTTTGTTAAATCAAAAATAAAAAAAAATAAAAAATGTTAATTACAAAAAAAGAATAATGGGGCTTTCCCAAAAAGTAAGCAAATGCTCATATTACTCATGGCTGTATTTGTGTCCCAGGTTTGGAGTTAGGATAAATTAGAGGTGTCTTGATCAGGGCTAGATTTCTGCAAAGCCAACATGACCATGACTGACCATAGCCAACAGGACTATGACTGACCATAGCCAGCATGACCATGACTGACCATAGCCAGCATGACCATGACTGACCATAGCCAAAAGGACCATGACTGTCATTATGTGATTGCTAATAACACAGTTCTATGTCAGTAAAAGGTTCCAGACTGCTGACAACTATGACAAAATATTACAGCTTCAAAAAACATGCCATGTCTCTTACTAAATACCTTGGACTGTCTACTTTCCAAAAAGGGGTAATTTGGGTGATATTTGTACTGTCCTGGTGCTGTAGGGTCTCAAGAAATTAGATTTGGTCATCAGTACATTATGATTCTAGATTTTCCTAAATTTATGAAAAATAATTATTTATTTGCAAAATTTTATAAGAGAAATGAAGAAAAAAATTTCTTTTTTTGTTTAAATAACTTAAAATAAAAATCCCAGTGGTGATTAAATACCACCAAAAGAAATCTCTATTTCTGGGAAAAAAATTATAAAAATGTTATTTGGGTACAGTGTTGCATGACCGCGCAAAAGTGTGACAGCACTGAAAGCTGAAAATTGGCCTGGGCAGGAAGGGGGTGAAAGTGCCCAGTGTTACATTAACCTGGTTGGACATTTTTCTGTTGTGTGATGGGAATATAAAGAGGAGGAGTGATGCTTAGCATCTGAGTGGGCTTTGTTCTTGCAGCAAGGGTTGGTATTCCTGGCCTGCTCTATCCTAGGAAGAGGTGAAAAGATTGGGAAAGTTCCACTCATAACTATGCCTGGGTTATTTGGGATAAGGAATCCATGAAGAGTAGAGGGAACTGGAGGAAGCCAGCCTATGGACTGCAGAGGCTGTGCCGGAGGAAGAAGCTCTCTGACCATGCCTGCAGGTTTTGTGAGTTGCAGGACCAGACCTCTGGCTTTTTGCAACTGGACAGAACCCAATGACTGAAGAGTTTGTATAGCATACTAACAATTCACTACCCCAGGTTCAACCACTTAGAACTGAATGAGGCAGTTGTTTGCCCCGCTCTTTCAGTGAGCAAGTTGTCTCTTTCGTTCTCTTTTCCCCCAGCCACGGTGTTCCTTGTTTGGCGATGAGTTCTGATCTTGTTAGTTTAACACTAAGGCTAACCACTTATTTGGGATTAGGAGGGGGGCAACACATGACCGTTAGCTAAGGGAGGTAGGAAGCATAAATCTGGCCCTGAACTTGACGTGGCAGTATTCCAATTATGTATTTGCAAATGTATGCAATAAAAACCTCTGAGCTGACTAGCTGGATAGGGTACTGGGGAATTTATTTAATGATAAACTGTGTGACCCATCCGGTGTAGAATATAAGAAAGGCAGAAGGAAGGTTTTTTTTTCTAGTATTTAACAAGTGGTAGATCTTACCGTTCCCGCACATGTATCTTCAACATCAACCCACACAGAATCAGCCACGACTTCTGAACCAAGAACCACGTAATATGCCACAATGCGGAAGGATGGAAGGAGATCCTTTGTAATTAAAAGTGTCTCAGTCATAACAGTCTGGCTTTCTCTTACCAATCTTCCAGCTTTTATTATTCTACCTTTATTCAGTACCTGGAAAGTAAAATAATTCTCATATGAGACTTTTGCATAAACATGGAATGCCAAGTAACACACATTTGATGTGTTGTACAGTGAGCATTGCGCCTTAGGCTCTCACGTTGGAATTTCTCTTACATTGGAAAAATTTCATCTCTATATCCTATCCAAAAACAAAAATCTTATCCAAAAACAAAAGTTTGGGCTTTGGATGTACTTTAAGCATAAAATAAGGGTGTGTATGTACTTGTGCAAAATATCAAATACAGAGGAGAATCTCCTTACTGGAGACACAGACCACAATAAAAACTTGACAGATGATCTAATCTATTCCCAATTTATCCAAAACTACATTCTCACAATATACATTTTTGTTGTACATTTACATTGATTTCATTTTTAATCTTGCTCAAGGTCAATGACTTCGAAATTAATGAAGCCAGAGGGTCTGCATTTTTAGAAGCAAGTTAGCAAAGACAGAACAAGAATATCCCTTAAAGTATTATTAGGAAACCTATGAAAAGAACTACCCTTTCATGTATGGAATATACAAAATAGTTGTAAGGGAATTCTCGTGAGACAGCTGGTGAATAGACGTGCGAATGTGTACAGAAATGCATGATCATGCACGGTGAAGATTGGCGCCAAACAGACTATTAAAGAGGTGCCTCTGCCTGTCCTGAGTGCTGACTGGTCTTCAGCTGTTCCCTGCTCGTTCCTGTGTGATTTTCTTGTTGCTGACCTGGCTTGTTCCTGACCTGACTCGGATTCCTCTCCTGCTTGATACTTGTTCATGACTTCGGCTCTGCTCTTGACTTTGGCTTGCTTACGATTTGGTACCTCGCTGTCCGCCCGTTGATGACCCTGGCTATTCCTATGACATTGCTCTGGTCTCCCATCCCTGCTTCCTGCCTTGCTCTGGGCGATCTATAATACCAGCTCTGCATATTACTACTGATCAGGGGCGGACTGACAACTCATGGGGCACCCGGGCAATAGGGGATCATGGGGCCCCTGTGCCCTTGCCCAAACTCAAAAAAGCCTATGAAAAAGGGTACCAGGGGCATCTCATGGGGACCCCTACTGACCTCGGGCCCTCGGACAGAGCCCGAGTTTCCAAATGGTCAGTCCGCCCCTGCTACTGATTCTGAATCGGAGGTTCATCAGTCTTCCAAAGTCTCCAACTGCAAGAGCTGCAAACAACATCTGCTGGCACTCTTGTCCCCCTGGTCCCTAGACACCCTCTGTTCCACTTCTAGTGGGGTCAGGGCTAGTGACATAAGTGAGGCCGACCTCATCATTTCAGTCTCCAATCAGGTACATGACAATAGTCATATGCAATATTCTATATAATCATCACTTATCCAACAAGCACTGAAAATCCAGCTTGTTGGGTGGGTACAGCATGGAGCTGTGGCAGTAAACATATGGAGACCCAAAGTGCAGTAACTGATGTAATGAAGAACTTGAAAACAGTACAACAGCCCAGCAGGGGAGCTCGCCAACTGGGAACTTGCAATCAGTGTAACAGAAATCAGCAATAGAAGAGAACATGGTAGAACTGGGGAGGATCTAGCAAGGACTCAACACATTTGCACTAAAGAGAAGAATAGAAGAACATACCAAAATCAAATTAGTAGACAAAACTTCCACTACATGTTAGTATGCTACGGAGAAATGATAACACATGCGGTATAATACATGACATAACAAAATACATGAAAAATACAGAATAGCTTACCAAATAAAATACATTGTTGTGTGATAATGGGCTGCTGTTCTTGATAATAAACTCAATGTGGACATTATCTTGTAATTTCAGTTGCCCGGATGGGACACTGAGATAAAGGTAGCTTCTACTGGGGGAATAGTACGCCTGGGCTGTCATAGATGCAGTGGCTTGCTCATTTTGAGCTAATTTTGCATCTTCTGTAGACACCTACAAAGAGAAAATAGGTATTATACACATCACAGAATCTTAAAGCCAGCAAAAATTCCAAATGTAAGGGCTCGTTCACACTTGACTGTTTTTCCAACTCTTGTGAAACGCCCCTATAGCGTTTGAGAAGCGTTGGTCCGGCGTTTGCGGAACGGTTTTTAACGCTCCGCAAACGGCGCATGTGCAGTTTAGTGGAGGTTGCTAGGCATTTGCAAAGCGTAAAAATGCCCTACAAACGCCTATAATGAAGATTGAATGGTGTTAACGCTCCGCAAATGCCCCACAACCGGAGAGGCGTTTGCGGAGCAGCACCATAGACTTGAATAGGAGGCTTCAACTCCTCCTGACTCGACCAGAGGCGTCCGTTTTGCTGCTACGCTAACGCTCCCATGTGAACAGCACCTTGTGCTGTAATGTGCAGAATTTTCACAGGTGTTTGGGAAGCGGTAAAAACGCTTACCAAACGCCTGTCTGCAAACAAGGCTAGTGTGAACGTAGCCTTATAGGTCTGCTGAATCATAGCAAACATTACTTTGCAGAGGAGGGCATAACTAAAAGCAAAAGTACCCTGCTAAAAAATATGACTAGATGTGTATTTCTATGGCCACCATCACACACTGATGATTGAGTTCACTAAATGATGGAGTTCTGGTGTTTATACTACTCCTGATCCCTGCATTGTATATGCTGTGTTGTACTGTACACATTATATCCTGATCCCTGCATTGTATATGCTGTGTTGTACTGTACAATTATACTCCTGATCCCTGCATTGTATATGCTGTGTTGTACTGTACACATTATACTCCTGATCCCTGCATTGTATATGCTGTGTTGTACTGTACAATTATACTCCTGATCCCTGCATTGCATATGCTGTGTTGTACTGTACAATTATACTCCTGATCCCTGCATTGTATATGCTGTGTTGTACTGTACACATTATACTCCTGATCCCTGCATTGTATATGCTGTGTTGTACTGTACACATTATACTCCTGATCCCTGCATTGTATATGCTGTGTTGTACTGTACAATTATACTAATGATCCCTGCATTGTATATGCTGTGTTGTACTGTACACATTATATTCCTGATCCCTGCATTGTATATGCTGTGTTGTACTGTACACATTATACTCCTGATCCCTGCATTGTATATGCTGTGTTGTACTGTACACATTATACTCCTGATCCCTGCATTGTATATGCTGTGTTGTACTGTACAATTATACTCCTGATCCCTGCATTGCATATGCTGTGTTGTACTGTACAATTATACTCCTGATCCCTGCATTGTATATGCTGTGTTGTACTGTACACACTATACTCCTGATCCCTGCATTGTGCATGCTGTGTTGTACTGTACACATTATACTCCTGATCCCTGCATTGTACACATTATACACATTATACTCCTGATCCCTACATTGTATATGCTGTGTTGTACTGTACACATTATACTCCTGATCCCTGCATTGTACATGCTGTGTTGTACTGTACACATTATACTCCCGACCCTGCATTGTATATGCTGTGTTGTACTGTACACATTATACTCCTGATCCCTGCATTGTATACATGCTGTGTTGTACTGTACACATTATACTCCTGATCCCTGCATTGTGCATGCTGTGTTGTACTGTACACATTATACTCCTGATCCCTGCATTGTACATGCTGTGTTGTACTGTACACATTATACTCCTGATCCCTGCATTGTACACATTATACTCCTGATCCCTGCATTGTATATGCTGTGTTGTACTGTACAATTATACTTGATCCCTGCATTGTATATGCTGTGTTGTACTGTACAATTATACTCCTGATCCCTGCATTGTATATGCTGTGTTGTACTGTACACATTGTATACTCCTGATCCCTGCATTGTACATGCTGTGTTGTACTGTACACATTATACTCCTGATCCCTGCATTGTACATGCTGTGTTGTACATGTACACATTATACTCCTGATCCCTGCATTGTACATGCTGTGTTGTACTGTACACATTATACTCCTGATCCCTGCATTGTATATGCTGTGTTGTACTGTACACATTATACTCCTGATCCCTGCATTGTACATGCTGTGTTGTACTGTACACATTATACTCTTGATCCCTGCATTGTATATGCTGTGTTGTACTGTACACATTATACTCTGATCCCTGCATTGTATATGCTGTGTTGTACTGTACACATTATACTCCTGATCCCTGCATTGTATATGCTGTGTTGTACTGTACACATTATACTCCTGATCCCTGCATTGTATATGCTGTGTTGTACTGTACACATTATACTCCTGATCCCTGCATTGTATATGCTGTGTTGTACTGTACACATTATACTCCTGATCCCTGCATTGTATATGCTGTGTTGTACTGTACAATTATACTCCTGATCCCCACATTGTATATGCTGTGTTGTACCGTACACATTATACTCCTGATCCCTGCATTGTGCATGCTGTGTTGTACTGTACACATTATACTCCTGATCCCTGTGTTGTATATGCTGTGTTGTACTGTACAATTATACTAATGATCCCTGCGTTGTATATGCTGTGTTGTACTGTACACATTATACTCCTGATCCCTGCATTGTATATGCTGTGTTGTACTGTACACATTATACTCCTGATCCCTGCATTGTATATGCTGTGTTGTACTGTACACATTATACTCCTGATCCCTGCATTGTATATGCTGTGTTGTACTGTACACATTATACTCTTGATCCCTGCATTGTATATGCTGTGTTGTACTGTACACATTATACTCCTGATCCCTGCATTGTATATGCTGTGTTGTACTATACACATTATACTCCTGATCCCTGCATTGTATATGCTGTGTTGTACTGTACACATTATACTCCTGATCCCTGCATTGTATATGCTGTGTTGTACTGTACACATTATACTCCTGATCCCTGCATTGTATACATTACTTTGTAAATTATATTAACCTGGGAGACAGAGTGTTTGCTAGTTTAATTACTAGCTTAATTTAAGTATTGTTATCATGGTTTAGCATCTTTAGTCTCCTGTAGGGTAGTGATGGGTGTAAAGAGCACCAGATCCATGTTTCTAGTGAAGGGGAATTATGAGAAATACATATCTGTTTCAGTCAAGTAGACCTACTTGGATATAGATACAACAGTGGTTCAGTGGGTAGTTGCTTCCTTGACCCCGTTTTCAGACCCTGCCCTTACATACCACTGCAGTGTGTTTTATCACAGCAATAGAATACTTACAGTTACTTCAAGAGATGTTACAGCTGTTTCAGTATTAATAGACAGCCTGGCCGTACCATCTTCCATCGTTCTTCCTTTTTTATCTCCGGGATTTGCCACCACAGGAACACCAGATTCTGGAGACCCATCTGGGCTTGTGACATGCACCTAAAATGGAAAACATTTGAATTTTTTTTTTTTTTTTAAATCTGCACATAAGGCACCAAAAATATCAAGTGAAACCTCAGACAAATCTCATCTTACTTTTGTCATGTTACCAGAAGGGAAATGATACAAAAAAGATAAGCCTTAGTAAAGTGTTGTCTACACCATTATTATGCAGTTTATACAAACGTAGGCAGATGCCGGCTAGATAATTATGCTTTTCAGGGACGTTTACAGATGAGACTATGATTAAAGCGGAGCTCCACCCAGAAGGGGAAGTTCCACTTTAAGGACTGCTCCCCCGCTCCCCATTAAGGATTGGCACATTTGACAGGTACCAGCTCCCACTTCCGGTCCGATCACCTAGGCGGTCGGAAGCAGGGAGTTGTGCTCCCTCCCTCCATGTAGTCTTTTGAGACATGTGATCGGTCCCAGAAGACCATTTATGAAGCACAGCGCTTCTCGCGCATGCGCAGTGGGTGCCTGGCTGTGAAGCCACAAGCTATCACAGCCGGGTGTCCACAATGAAGATACCGGCCTCCTGGAATACAGGACGGCCGGTGAAACGGGCTGCGAAGGACACACTGCAGTACTGAGGGACAGGTAAGTGGCTGTTTTTTAAAAGTCAGCAGCTACAGTTTTTGTAGCTGCTGACTTTTATTTTTTGATAGGTTGAGTAGAACTCCGCTTTAATCCGTTTCCCCCTAGTGCCCAGTACTGGGACCGCTACATCACTTCCTATTAGCAGAGTGGATCCAGTTCTTCTGACAGCAGAGGAACCTGTAGTTCCATTGCAAGTAAATTCCTTATTTCTGAGCGCTGATTGAACTACAACTGCCAGAGAGCTGGGGAGCCAGAAGGTTGCTGGGAGAACAGATATATTCTCAGCAAGGAACTGTCTATCTCTTGACGTGGGGTTCAGAGCTGAATACAGGGGGACTGCCGTTCTCTTCCAGAGACAGATTGTTTGCCTATGGCTGTGGGACTCTGCACATCAGTTCAGCACAGCAGTGACACTGATCGCCACACCAGGATCACATCAGCTTCTCTGCTTTGGGCCTGTCACTGTCTGGTCTTCACACAGACATCTGTCAGGCCACAACTCTGCACATCTCTGCAAACAGCCAAGCCAAGAACTTTTGTTCCTAGGAGGTCATGCTATCCAAGGGATTGGTGAGTGGGCAGATGCCCAACCTCTTTCTGTTTAGAGATACTGCATGCAGACACCTTTACACCTCAGTATAAGGAAATCTTTGCTTTGAGTAGTACCACAGCCTGTTTAACTTAATTGAGTTACCAGTATCACTACTGCTTATGGGCCCCACCATTGCTAGCAGAAGACAACAGACACCACCAGATCAGGAACGTTAAACATCACAAGACTCTAGTTAAAGGAACCTCTTCTCTTATAGACCCATTCTTCAAATTAGGATACTTACATCTATTATAACATTGATTCACCGGTGGCCTAGAGGAAGCTGATGAGTCAGCAAGCTTTTTTTTCTTCCTCCTCTTACAACTGGTGTTGCAGTTTAATAGTTGAAGCTTATTACGCATGACTGTATCATTTGTTAAATGTTGCTAACCGAATGTTCGTATTTTACCAGTGTTCTATTTCTATGTGTTAATTGCCAACATGGAAGAAAAATAAATTTGAAATATATTTTAAAAATATTTTTCCTAAATATATTGACATATATTTGAAATGCTACAATTTTGGCCATATTCAATATATTTACAGTAAAAATATATTTATATATATATACACATACAGTGGGTCAAAAAAGTATTTAGTCAGCCACCAATTGTGCAAGTTCTCCCACTTAAAAAGATGAGAGAGGCCTGTAATTAGCATCATAGGTAGACCTCAACTATGAGAGACAAAATGAGAAAAAAAATCCAGACAATCACATTGGCTGATTTGGAAAGAATTTATTTGCAAATTATGGTGGAAAATACGTTTTTGGTCACCTACAAACAAGCAAGATTTCTGGCTCTCACAGACCTGTACCTTCTTCTTTAAGAGGCTCCTCTGTCCTGCACTCATTACCTGTATCAATGGCACCTGTTTAAACTTGTTATCAGTATAAAAGACACCTGTCCACAACCTCACACAGTCACACTCCAAACTCCACTACGGTGAAGACCAAAGAGCTGTCGAAAGGACACCAGAAACAAAATTGTAGACCTGCACCAGGCTGGAAAGACTGAATCTGCAATAGGCAAGCAGCTTGGTGTGAACAAATCAACTGTGGGAGCAATAATTAGAAAATGGAAGACATACAAGACCACTGATAATCTCCCTCAATCAGGGGCTCCACACAAGATCTCACCCAGTGGGGTCAAAATGATCACAAGAACAGTGAGCAAAAATCCCAGGACCACACGGGGGGACCTAGTGAATGACCTGCAGAGAGCTGGGACCAACGTAACAAAGGCTACCATCAGTAACACACTATGCCGCCAGGGACTCAGATCCTGCAATGCCAGACATGTCCCCCTGCTTAAGCCAGTACATGTCCGGGCCCATCTGAAGTTTGCTAGAGAGCATTTGGATGATCCAGAAGAGGATTGGGAGAATGTCATATGGTCAGATGAAACCAAAATAGAACTGTTTGGTAGAAACACAACTCGTCGTGTTTTGGAGGAGAGAGAATGCTGAGTTGCATCCAAAGAACACCATACCTACTGTGAAGCATGGGGGTGGCAACATCATGCTTTGGGGCTGTTTCTCCACAAAGGGACCAGGACGACTGATCCATGTACAGGACAGAATGGGGCCATGCAAACCTCCTTCCATCAGCAAGGGCATTGAAGATGAAACGTGGCTGGGTCTTCCAACATCACAATGATCCCAAACATACCGCCCGGGCAACGAAGGAGTTGCTTCGTAAGAAGCATTTCAAGGTCCTGGAGTGGCCTAGCCAGTCTCCAGATCTCAACCCCATAGAAAACCCTTGGAGGGAGTTGAAAGTCCGTGTTGCCCAGCGACAGCCCCAAAACATCACTGCTCTAGAGGAGATCTGCATGGAGGATGGGCCAACATACCAGCAACAGTGTGTGCCAACCTTGTGAAGACTTACAGGAAACGTTTGACCTCTGTCATTGCCAACAAAGGATATATAACAAAGTATTGAGATGAACTTTTCATACTGACCAAATACTTATTTTCCACCATAATTTGCAAATACATTCTTTCCAAATCAGCCAATGTGATTGTCTGGATTTTTTTTCTCATTTTGTCTCTCATAGTTGAGGTCTACCTATGATGCCAATTACAGGCCTCTCTCATCTTTTTAAGTGGGAGAACTTGCACAATTGGTGGCTGACTAAATACATTTTTGCCCCACTGTACATACATACTGTATGTTGAAATGCGTTTTTTATTACAAAATATATGAAAAATATTTTTTAAAATACATTTCAAATATACTGATATACTGTATGTCTTTAAAAATACAAATCTGCATTTTCGGAATGCAATTACAAATATATGTAAAAATATATGTTAAAATAACTTTTTTATATGTTAAAAAAATCTGAAGAATATATTTAAAAAAATATAAACTTTTAAAAATACAAATCTACATTTTTGGAATGCATTTACAAATATATGTAAAAATATATGTTAAAATTACTTTTTTATATATTAAAAAAAGTCTGAAGAATATATTTAAAATATATATATTTTTAAATATATATATTTTTTTTAAATATTTTCTTCAGATTTTTTTTAACATATAAAAAAGTCATTTTAACATATATTTTTACATATATTTGTAAATGCATTCCAAAAATGTAGATTTGTATTTTTAAAAGTTTATATTTTTTTAAATATATTCTTCAGATTTTTTTAACATATAAAAAAGTTATTTTAACATATATTTTTACATATATTTGTAAATGCATTCCAAAATTGTTGATTTGTATTTTTAAAGACATACAGTATATTTGAAATGTATTTTTAAAAATATTTTTCATATATTATAATAAAACCGCATTTCAACATACAGTATATATATATATTTATTTAAAATATATTTTGAAATACATTGAATATGGCCAGAATTGTAGCATTGCAAATATATGTCAATATATTTGGGAAGAATATTTTTTAAATGTATTTCAAATATATTTTTCTTCCATATGGGTGTGGTTGTACATCCTGAACCCATTAGTCATGTGATCTCTTTTGAACAAGACTAATATAGAGTTTTTACTAGGAATTGTGTTTCCTGCATTATGATTCTATGCTGTTTAACCACTCACCTACCGGGCACTTATACCCCCTTCCTGCCCAGGCCAATTTCCAGCTTTTAGCGCTGTTGCACTTTGAATGACAATTGCACGGTCATACAACACTGTACCCATATGACATTTTTATCATTTTTTTTTGACAGATAGAGCTTTATTTTGGTGGTATGTAATCACCTCTGGGTTTTTTTTATTTTTTCTTAAACAAACCAAAAACCACCAAACCAAAACTAAATTTTGAAAAAAAAAATTTTTTCTTAGTTTTTGTTATAAAATGTTGTAAATAAGTGATTTTTCGCCTTCACTGATGTGTGCTAATGAGGCTGCAGTGATGGGCACTGATAGGCTGCACTGATGGACACTGATATGTGGCACTGATGAGGAGGCACTGGTAAGTGGCACTGATGGGTATTGACAGGCATCACTGATGGGCACTGAAAGGCAACACTCATATATGGCACTGATAGGCGGCACTGACTGCCACTGATAGGCGGCACTGACTGGCACTGATAGGTGTCACTGATTGGCAGCACTGATAGGTGGCACTGACTGGCACTGATAGTTGGCACTGACTGGCATTGATAGGTGGCACTGATGGGTGACACTGAAAGGCAGCTCCAATGGGCACTGATATGTGGCATTGATGTGGCACTGATGGGCACTGAAATGTGGCACTGATGGGCACTGGCAGGTGGCATGGATGAGCACTGAGAGCTGGCACTGATGGACACTGACAGGTGACACTGCTGGGGCTACACTGATCATCAGGGCACACTGATCATCAGTGCCCTGATGATCAGTGTACATGTCCCCCCCTCCGAGGAATGCCGATTACCAGCTCTCCTCTCTGTCAGCGTGACAGCTGGAGAGGAGAGAAATGCCGATAATCGGCATTTCCCTGTTTACATGTGATCAGCTGTGATTGGACACAGCTGATCACATGACCGAGCCGACATCTTCGGCTCTTTCCATGGATCGGTGATCCGCTGTGTCCGAGGGACACAGCGCACCACCGATCACTGCGCTGCGCACTCCGGGAGGCGCGCATGCGCGGTTAGAATGGGAAGACGTCATATGATGTCCTCCCAGAACGAGAGAACCACCTTGCGTCCGTCATATTACTGTATGGCAGGCGGGAGGTGGTTACATATGTCTGAACCCAGAGTGTCAGGGGTGTCAGGAGGCTTGCAAGGTCAGGGCATCCACTGGGGACAAGCATTATCAAGCAGCCCCTGCGGGGATAGTGCTACATAAATATACTTTCTTAATAGCAATTCATAAAATATTCCAACATGTAATTAAATCAGTAAGTAAAATACATTCCATCTATAAAAAATTACAAACTCCAACACATTTAAAACCACAAAAAAAACTGAAGATTATGTTGGGACCCTAAAGGGTCTATTTCTAAAAAAAAAATAAACCAACAGCCCCCCACAACCACCGGACCAGGGTTATCGGGAAGAGGCTCTTGTCCTCATCAACAAGTTGAAGGCATATGGCCTGGTCCAGGAGGAAAAGTGAAGCTGAAGGGTCTGGTACGACAATTTCTATTTTTCAATTCTCCCTGCTGTTTGTTGACATTCACCTATTAGTCAGGATTCCCCGGGTGACAGCTGAATGTGGCAGGCTTGGATGAGCCATTGGTTGTGCCAGGAGTAACCAGAAGGAACATGTCATATTTAGCACGGGTATTGATACCACCACTGCCAGGGGCGTCCCTAGACAGGTGCAGAGGGTGCAGACCAGCTCCATGAAAAGGTAAGTTGTAAAGCAAGCCAACGATCCCCACAAGGTGGATTGGATCTGCGGATTGAGCATAATGGATCAGAGTCCGATCCATTATGCTCCCCAATCCGCAGATCCGATCCATCCTGCGGGGATCGTCAGCTTGCTTTACAACTTACCTTTTCGTGGAGCGGGCCCGGTGTCACCCCGTATAGGTTGCATGCCGACGATCCCTGCGCATTGGGGAGCATAATGGATCGGACTCCGATCCATTATGCTCAATCCGCAGATCTGATCCATCCTGCGGGGATCGTCGGAGGGGGTGTCACCAAGTGTTACCGCACCGGGTGACACCAACCCTAGGGACACCCCTGACCACTGCTAAATGTTTCACTTCACACTGCAGCTGAAGGTTCACTCAGCCAAACACTCATTCGTTCTACTGTTCACACTGTCATCTCCATAGACTGTATAGGCGGTCTCCCTTATGTTGCAGTGTTATTTTACATTGCCTATGCTTGTCATAATTTGGATATTATTATTATTATTTGCAATTCTTTAAATTTTTTTCAGTAGAAAGAAAAGTGTGCCTATGTGTTTATATACAGTATACAGATTGGTCTTACCGTGAGATAAAAAGGCATTCCAGGTGTAAAGTATTTGGAAGTCTTAAAGAATTGGATTTTAAAGGGAAATTCCACAATATGAATATCATCCAGTTGGGCTTCCAATAAATCACTACCTGCAAAACAAGCAAAAAAATAAATATCATGAAAGTTGTCCATAGACTTTAGGGAATGGTTGAGCAGAGTTAAATTGGCTTTGGGCAGCACAGTGGTTCAATGGTTAACACTTCCGCCTGGCAGTAGTAGGGCCATTGGTTTGAATCCCAACCAGGACACCATCTGCCTGGAGTTTGCATGTTCTCCCTGTGCCTACGTAGGTTTCCTCTGGGTACTTCGGTTTCCTCCAACCTTTCAATTACTTGCTGGTAGGTTAATTGGCTCCTGTCTAAATTGGTCCTAGTATCTGTATAAGTAAGTTAGGGACCTTAGCTTGTACTCCCCTTGAGGGTTTGGGACTGATGTGAATATACAATATATACAGTGATGGAAATAAGTATTTGCTCCCCTGCTGATGTTGAATGTTTGCCCACTCACAGGAAATGATCAGTCTAAAAATCGAATGTTCCGTGTATTGTAACACTGAGAGACAGAATAGCAACAAAAAATTCAGCAGAAATGCATGTCTAACCAATGATGTCTGATTTGCATGTTCATGAGGGAAATAAATATTTGATCCCCTTCACAAAACATGACTTAGTACTTGGTGGCAAATCCCTTGTTGGCAATCACAGAGGTCAGATGTTTCCTGTAGTTGGCCACCATGTTTGCACACATCTCAGGAGGGATTTTGGCCCACTCCTCTTGGCAGATCCTCTCCAAGTCATTAAGGTTTGGCGGCTGATGTTTGGAAACTAGAACTTTCAGCTCCCTCCACAGATTTTCAATCGGATTAAGGTCTGGAGACTTGCTAGGCCACTCCAGGACCTTAATGTGCTTCTTCTTGAGCCACTTTGTTGCCTTGGCCCATGTGTTTTAGGTCATTGTCATGCTGGAACACCCATCCACGACCCATTTTCAATGTCCTGGCTGAGGGAAGAAGGTTCTCTCCCAAGATTTGATGGTACATTGCCCTGTCCCTACCGCAGGGGATCAAATACTTATTTCCTTCACTGTAAATAAAGCGATGCGTAAATTGACACCGCCATATACGTACCTGTAAATAAAATAAATAATTTTGGCAGCTTTGAGAGCTTGGTGCTGGAAGATTTTCTAGCACAGAGCTCTTGGTTCAGACAGAAATGCCCTACCTAACCTAACCCATAAAGCAAGCCTTTATACTTACCTTACCTCTAGCCTTAAAGTGTACGTAAACCCTAACAATGAACTGCTGTTATTTGGTCTATTAAAGTGGAAGTGAAGCCAAATATATAAATTTGTATCTACAGGTAAGCCTATAGTAAGTCTTGCCTGTATGTATGATGAATGCCTCCCAAACCTGAGCCACTTAGGAGATGTTCACATCAGCTCCAACTGATGGCATCACTGTGCCTACGCAGAGGTGCTCTTCATTCAAGGCACACTGAATGAAACAGACACATAGAAGAGTGACGGCATAAAACAGACCAAGTGGTCCAACAAGTCGTTTTTATTTTTATATATACAGGTGAAACTCGAAAAATTAGAATATCATGCAAAAGTTCATTTATTTCAGTAATACAACTTAAAAGTTGAAACTAATATATGAGATAGACTCATTACATGCAAAGCAAGATAGTTCAAGCCGTGATTTGTCATCATTATGATGATTATGGCTTACAGCTCAAGAAAACCCCAAATCCACAATCTCAGAAAATGAGATTATTGTGAAAAGGTGCAATATTCTCGGCTCAAAGTGTCCCACTCTAATCAGCTAATTAAGCCATAACACCTGCAAAGGGTTCCTGAGCCTTTAAATGGTCTCTCAGTCTGGTTCAGTAGGAATCACAATCATGGGAAAGACTGCTGACCTGACAGTTGTGCAGAAAACCATCATTGACACCCTCCATAAGGAGGGAAAGCCTCAAAAAGGTAATTGCAAAAGAAGTTGGATGTTCCCAAAGTGCTGTATCAAAGCACATTAATAGAAAGTTATGTGGAAGGGAAAAGTGTGGAAGAAAAAGGTGCACAAGCAGCAGGGATGACCGCAGCCTGGAGAGGATTGTCAGGAAAAGGCCATTCAAAAGTGTTGGGGACTTTCACAAGGAGTGGACTGAGGCTGGAGTCAGTGCATCAAGAGCCATCACACACAGACGGATCCTGGACATGGGCTTCAAATGTCGTATTCCTCTTGTCGAGCCGCTCCAGAACAACAAACAACGTCAGAAGCGTCTTACCTGGGCTAAAGAAAAACAGACCTGGTCTGTTGCTCAGTGATCCAAAGTCCTCTTGTCCGATGAGAGCAACTTTTGCATCTCATTTGGAAACCAACGACCCCGAGAATGGAGGAAGAATGGAGAGGCCCAAGGACCCCGAGTATGGAGGAAGAATGAGAGGGCACAAGGACCCAGAGTATGGAGGAAGAATGGAGAGGCACACACTGCAAGATGCTTGAAATCCAGTGTGAAGTTTCCACAGTCTGTGTTGATATGGGGAGCCATGCCATCTGCTGGTGTTGGTCCACTGTGCTTCATTAAGTCCCGGGTCAATGTAAGCCGTGTAACGGGGTGGGCTCCCCAGGATACAGTGAAGTCACGAACGAGGAAAGCAACCCCAACACCAGCTTTTGCCACAACATAATTTTACTTAGATGTGGCAAATAAACACAACCACAAATGCTGAGAACATACAATAAATTTACATACACCCAGCCCAAAGGCTGAGGCCCTTGTGCTGCACAGCACGGCGCCTCCTGATAGATGAAGGTAGAAGGTGTAGTAATTTACCTACTGGTGGGCACAACTAAGCTGCCACACCTTACCTGTTATTACCCTAAAAGAGCAGGAATCAGTGTATGGGTGTACGGTATGGGCTAGCCTGCGGTGCAGCACAACAGCTTACAATCTTACACAAATCTACAGTATTCCCTCTCCCATAACTGGTCCTGTAGCACATGCCTGAGTATTCCTTCTGAGCAAAACGCCAGTCTGGCTTGAGTTTGAGGGAGTTTATCAGCTCTCCAATGTGAAATGTTGCTTTAAGTTATGGAATCCTTCCAATGATCAGTAATAACACTTGTGGCCTCACACAAACAGAGACCCTAACTAACTATAGGCCTGGTCTCAGTCTCTAGGCGCCAACACTGAAATGAGGTGAGTGCACGATCTTACCGACCAGGGTCTGCTTTGCATCCGCTGGTGACTCTGAACAAAACAAATGTCTCTCCAACAAGCATGCGGTATCGCAGTGTATGTTGCTTCGTTCCTCTGCTCTCATCAGCATTCCTGGCAGCAATCTTCCTTTCTCTAAACAGGATCAGGGTCTTGGACACGATCAGCTTCACTTAGCTGCAGCTCTGGTTACTGAGGGATGCTCTCACACCTGGATGTCATCAGATTCTCTGCTCACACGGCTCCTTCATTCACCATCCTCCAAACACGGCTGCTGTCTCTCTTCTTCCTGTTCTCTAAAGTCTGTCTGAAAACCCCACCTCTTCATGAATATAGAAATATCTATGCAGTCTGAGGCTGTGTTAGGAAAACAGTGGCATCTTGTGGCTAAACCGCAGAATGTCAGTCCAGAA